TTTAAAATTAATCTTAGCAAAACATTACCAAAGTCATATGCAAATAGGCAGTTACTTTCCTTCTTTCCTTCCTTCTCTTCCCTCCCTTCTTTTCAGCTACTGATTTCAGGAGATTTCACTTAAGTCCTCCCAGCCATCTCTCAGCTGACAGCCCGAGTACCACAGAGGGGTGGGAGCCAGGGGTGGATTTGAAGTTGGTGAATTTATAGCTCTGTATATAAAAATTACTACAGCTGAAAACAGAAAACCCATTTTTAACTAGACAAGTGTTTACCCGCAACTGTACACTGAGTGTCCTCACTAAGTGGACACTTCAGTGCCAGGTTCTGTCTGAGGTGGTGCTGATGTTTGGGTTGCTAATTTCTGGCTTTTTCTTCTGCAGGCATCAGCTGGATCCCCAATCTTCTGGTAGTATAGTCTGAAGCTGAACTCCACAGACACAAAAAGAACAAAAGTAAAACAAAAGGCACTCATGGAAATCAGAAGACACTGCAAAAGAGCCAGGGCTGCACTCACCGAAGGCCTTGAGCCATGAGACTGTGGAACATTTCCAGAGACCCGATGGCAGCTCCCCATTTGCCCATGGCCTGGCCAGGGAAGGCACTGGACCTTTCTGAAAGAAAACCAAGCATGTAAGCATGGACAGCAGGGCCAACAGGTGCCACTTGTTGGAGGATGGCCATGGTAAGAGGTGATTCTTGGAATTCAGAATAGAAGAAAATCTTTTAATAAATTCTTTTGGAGATAGTGACTGACACGTGGAGATGGAGCCTCAGGGGGCTTGAGAGGGTGTGTGAACAATGCAGGGCTCTTGCCTCATCTACCTCCTCCCACAAGCCCTCCATGATTCATTTTTCCTGTGTAGTTTGGATACTCAACACAGCTCTGCTAGCGTTGGAGGATGGTTATATGGGACTGGATGTCTGAGCATTTGCTCACAAGGGAAACTTTTGTTTCTGAAGAATTTTTGTAGCAATGCTTTTTGTAAAAAAAAATATTTAGTACAGGGTCTACAGAGTCTCACTACACAGATCAGAATCGTAGTGATCCTTCATGTTTTTCAGCCTCCCAAGTGCTGAGATTACAGGGTGGCACCACCACGCTCAGTCTCATTCAACATCTCAGCATGCCCCAAAGGCAAGGCCAGAATCATGAACCAGGGATGGAAGACCCAGCACTTTGCCTGCCTAAGCAGGTGTTTTAATCTGCTGAGCTATCTGGCTGGCCCTACAGCAATGCTTTCACAATATTTTCTTTACTCTCCTGATTGCTTAAGGCATCCAGAGTGTATCCTAAGTCCTAATTTGATGATACAGGCCATTAGAACCATTAGCTGTTACCAGTGATGCCTTTGGGACTCCTGGCGCTGTGTCATTTCAGGCTGCTGCATGTCCTGGATTCTAGTGTGCAAACTGTTTTCTCATAATTTAGTGGCTCTTTTTTATATTGAAGTGGATGCCACTTAAGATATACTCATAAGTGAAATAAACCAGACTCACATGTAAATAGCTTATTGTTTCCCTAGTATAAGAACTCAAAAGAAGAAATACAAATAGAAAGGTATAATACAACTAAAAGGAAAGCAAGAACTCGTGAACTAATTAAGAGAGGGAAAGGAGAAGAGCTAGGAAACATGACAGTGACAAGCCATACAGTTATATGTACAAGATGGGCAAAGCAATGATCCTGAGAATCTCCAGATTTTTTAATCTAGCA